TCTCTCATCTCTCCGACCTCCAATCTCCGGTGAACAAAAATCCGGCAGGTACCAAGTAATCACAAGAATACTCATTGTGATATACAGTGGTACTCAAATGGTATCACAGTATATCACAATGAGTATCACATTGTGTATATTTGTGATTACTTGGTACTTGCCGGATTTTTGTTTACTGGAGGCCGGAGATTGGAGGTCGGAGAGATGAGAGAGGAGAGAGGAGTTTTTTAAAAATACCTAAAATGTCCTCTAATTATAATTTTAACTCAAACAACCATAATTATTAATTTCCTAATTTATCCATTGATTTGTGGTTGAGATTGGATCTCACAGTTACCACAAACTAATTAGTTTTCTCTTGAATGGGCCCTTATATATATATATATATATATATATATATATATATATATATGGTATATTTCAAATGCAACCATATCCATTTGTACAACCAATACAACTCAATCAATTGAGATATTTATGAAAATGGTAAGAGTTCATTTATTATGATTTGAATATTTATGGAAAATAACTAAAGTTCATTAATTATGATCAATACTTTATATTCATCAAATTAAATGGACGGTTGAGATTGAGTTGCATTGGTTGTACAAAACCTTACAAAATCCCATAAAACCCCAAGTACTGTAGAATTTCAATTAAATCCTAGTATTTCAAATCCAAACAATGCAACAAACCAAACATGAATTGGAATGTTTGAAACTCAAATTCCTCCAAATCCATTCAATTTCATTCTATTCCTGCAAAACAAACAAAACCTAATATTTTACCAGTTTTAAATTTGATTTTGCTAATTGTCATCCGATATTTTTATGGGTTATATTAATTTTTTATATAAAAATAACATAACAATATATTAAGCGTCTTAAACCAAACTAGTATTTAACAATAACCTAAATCTAACCATGGGATGCATAACATGTAAATATAATATAATTAATATTCTTGTTCATCAGTAATCATTAAATTTACTTGTATATCCATATAAATATGTTTGATTTGATTTAATAATTGAATATATGTTTTAAAGACGTTACACACCTACAACAAAACTACTATGTTTCACAGGTGGTGTTTCATATACGAAACCATATATAAAAATTGACCCCTATTAAATAAAATGTTATATTCATTATGGAGTGCAATCCAAATATACCACATAATACAAATATATCCAATTTCGTCCATTGTCATCCATTCTTCAGAAAAGTCAGACTTCTCATTTTGCTTCTTCAAGCCACCAATGAGGGCAAACTAGTAAATTCCCACCAAAACCACTTAACCACAATTGGTAGGCCTTCACACTTTGTTCCCATAAGGTCACCAATCTCATTCTATGAGGGCAAAACAGTATGTTCCAATAGATCAACACCTATAAATGCTGTGAAAGCCACTTTGGGAGTTCTTCAAAAGTAAGCCGGCCAAGAAAACCAAACCCATCATCATCCTGATCCCCGTATTTGGATCCAGCGATCTTTCTGACAGATATAATTTTTTCAAGAATGTCGACCCTCAAAATCACCAAGAAACACAATAAACATCTCAACAATCCCTTCCCTTCAAAACCCAAAACTTTACCCTTCAAACAGGGAACACTAATTTTGAATTCCCAAACTACCCTTTCACCACACCAAATCTTTCCCATTGGAAAGGATTTTCAGCTAGTTTGGAGATCAGCAAATGGTGGGTATGCCTCCATCTCTCATAAATCACAGCCTACAAGATCCATATGGTCTACAATCCCAGGTCAAGCATTCATCTCTACTGCAATGGCTGAAACAGAGGTGGAGGAAAGCAGGGGATCATTCATCATCAAAGATAGAAATGTTCAATTAGTATGTGATCATCAAACTATTGAACACATACAAGTGTTAAAAATTCAATCTGATATTAATCTGCAAGAAAAAGATCAAGATTTTGCATCTGGGTATGTGGAATTTGATCCAGAAATGCAGTTAAGGCGATTCGAGTTCCCAATTCTGCTAATAACAGGTAGGGTTTTTGGTATGAGGAAGAACAAGAAGGTTGCGAATGGCGAAAAATGGGAATCTGTAGAGAAGGATGTTTATAGTTATGCAAGATATAGGCTTTTGTTTGATCAAAAGAACAGTAATCAGATCGGGTTTCAAGTAAAACTTGGAAAACTGAATCTTGGATCTTCACCAAAGGTTTCACCGAGAAATTACAGGGGATTTGTTCGAAAATCAAGCCGACCACGAAGGATTCGAGTTAGGTTATGGGGATCTTTCTTGAGGAGAAGACAATTAGTGACAGATTCTTGTAATGAAGAGGAAAATGTAGCAATGAAGGATGGTGGATATGGATGTTTTAATAGGATTTGTTTTACATATTCGAGTGAAAAGAATGAGAGATTCTTCGGATTTGGAGAACAGTTTTCACGTATGGACTTTAAAGGAAGGAAGGTGCCCATTTTTGTTCAAGAACAGGGAATTGGGAGAGGAGATCAACCAATCACATTTGCTGCTAATCTGGTTAGCTACAGGTATGACCAAACTACCAATGTATCTATACCTATAACTAGGGGCAGGTTCATTTGAGAACCGTAAGAACCAACTATTCAGGAATTATTCATTATGAATATCTTGATAGATATTCATGAATATTTAGGTATATTCATAATGAATAATTCATGAATAGCTGGTTCTGATGGTTCTCAAAATATTTATGGTTCCTAAACGAACTTTCCCCTTAGTATCTATATGTTTATGTATAGAATGAGAATAATCTAGGAAACATTTCTATGTCATTATATAGGGCAGGGGGTGATTGGAGTACAACATATGCTCCTTCACCATTTTATATGACATCAAAGATGAAGTCACTTTACCTTGAAGGTTACGACTATTCAGTCTTTGATCTCACACAGGATGACAGAGTTCAGATACAGGTGAATTTTCTTCTATGTAACTTCTTCCAATCTGAAATGGAAATGCATTTTGACTTTTACTTTTGATGTACATTTTGTTATAAATTTATCATTAGCGTTTTCTATTTGTAGCTATTTCTATGAAGTTATGCATAGACACATAGTTGCCAATTTTCTTAACTTCTTAACAGAATTACAGCCAACAAAGGTTTTGCTTGCCCAGATGAAGAAATTGGATTTTCAGTAAAATTAACCAAACCAAACCAGCCCAGTATATCCCACCCATAGGTGGGATCAGGGGAGTATATACGCAAACCTGCCCTCTACCCCCAAAAAAGAGCAGTTATATCCGTAAAGACCCCTGACTTATGAAAAGGTGCGAAAAAGAGATTTTGCCCAAAAATGAAAGAAATAGAAAAGAAGAGAACTTGAGGCAAGAAAAGCAAGTTTGGAGTAAGCAACAACATACAAACAGAAATATGATTTTGAGTGAAAAATAGCTATTCGTATGGGAATAGGGAATCAAGATAATGCTTTTAGATAACACGGGCCTCCCCAGATTTTCAGTTTGCAAAAACGAGATTTCCTTTGATTTGATATGACAATGCTTGCAGATACGTGGAGATTGTGTTGAAGGTAGGATATTGTATGGGAGCTCACCTTCTGAGCTGATTGAACAATTCACTGAATCCATAGGCAGACCACCTGAGCTTCCTGACTGGATTATATCTGGTGCTATTGTGGGAATGCAAGGTGGAACAAATGCAGTTCGCCGTGTTTGGGAAGAACTGGTGGCCCATGATATTCCAATATCAGCATTCTGGTTGCAAGTACTATTCCACGCCTCTCCATTCCTTAATTCACCTGTTTGAAATATGCATCCACAATATAGTCATTTATTGGATTTTCTTCATGTGATTCGAGTATTTAATGTCAGATAGTAGGAAAGTATGTTGAGAAGAAAGAGGAAGGAACATAAGAGACACAAGTTTATTTTTAATGATGTCATAAGAGACACAATCTGTTGCCTACTATTTACTAGTCTTGGTTCTTTCCTTTCCGCTCACACTTTTGCACAACAGCCGCTATACCCTTTGGGGCGGAAGACAGATTTGCATACATCCAACACCTATACCTTACTGTCAAGTGGGATATACTGGGTTCAATTGATTTGGTTTATATATATTTGGCATACTGCAGGACTGGGTAGGGGAGAGGAAGACGGTAATTGGATCACAACTATGGTGGAATTGGGAAGTGGATGAAACACGGTATCAGGGATGGAAACAACTAATTAAGGAACTTAGTTCTCGGCATATCAAAGTGATGACATATTGCAATCCTTGTCTAGCTCCGGTAAGCATCATTTTCTTTTGGTCAACAAGCACTATGAACACTTTTCACAAGCCAAGGGTCTTCAAGATAACGGAAGCCCTACTCTTTGAAGTAGAGGTCAGATCTGCACCCCCGACCCCACCTCAAGGTGGGATACACTGGGCTCCTTTGGTTTGGTTTAACAAGCAATATGAACATTATCAGTCACCTTTTGAACATCTCACTTGATATCCCAGATGGATAGCAAGCCAGATGCAAAGAGAAACCTCTTTGAAGAGGCGAAGAAGTTGGACATATTAGTGAGAGATAAGAATGGAGAAGCATACATGGTTCCTAATACTGCTTTTGATGTGGGGATGTTGGATTTGACGCACCCCCATGCTGCAACATGGTTCAAACAGATTCTACAAGAGATGGTAGATGATGGTGTCCGGGGATGGATGGCTGATTTTGGTGAAGGCCTTCCTGTTGATGCCTGCATCTACTCAGGTTTGACATCACACATACTTTCTTTCTAATAATGTGATTCCACATCAAATACACCAGGTGGTAACTATTACACTCGTAATAAATGCATTGATCTAAAAGACAAGCAGTCTATTTTGATCATCACGAGATGCTCTTAGCCTCTTACTGCAATGCTAGTACCAACAAAGTGGCAGATTTCATCTTTTAAGGGTGTGTTTGTTATGTGGGATAAGATGGGACATGACAGAATAAAAACTTGTTGTCCATGTTTGGTGCGAAATTTAGACCGGGACAGGCAAGGACTAAGTGGGATATAAATGCATATCTTTTGTCCCACCAAGATAGGTGGAACAAAATTAGGAAGATGGAACAAATTGGTAAATAACTAAACTACCCATGTCATATTAAAACTGTAAAACCTTGCACAATCATTTCACCCGCCTACTTCACTATCGCCCGTCCATAACTGTTGCCTAATTTTTTCTTGTTAAATTTGTCTCTTTGTATGGTTCTTCATGTGAACAGGCACTACTTTTCATAACCTATGTGTTTGTTTTCAAGTAAGTTGTATGTACAATAAAAACCATTGCATACCAATCTAACATCTATGGCATGCAATCTTTCCAGGTGAAGATCCCATTTCTGCCCATAATAGATATCCAGAGTTATGGGCCCAGATCAACCGGGAATTTATGGAAGAGTGGAAAAGTACACTAGTGGGAAAGGAGAAAGAAGACCCTTCAGAATCATTAGTTTTCTTTATGAGAGCTGGTTTCAGAAATAGTCCCAAATGGGCAATGCTCTTCTGGGAGGGGGATCAAATGGTAAGTTGGCAGGCTAATGATGGGATAAAAAGTGCTGTTGTTGGTTTGCTTAGTAGCGGACTTTGTGGCTATGCGTTTAATCACAGTGATATTGGAGGTTATTGTGCGGTAAACTTACCCTTCATCAAGTATCGAAGGGATGAAGAGTTACTATTGAGATGGATGGAGTTAAATGCCTTCACCACAATATTCCGAACACACGAAGTAAGTTAGAAGGCTGGAAAAGTTACATTCATATATGATAGTTAAATGGCTGCTGCCTTTTACATACATACATATATATATATATACATACATACATACATACATATATATATATATATATATATATAATGTGGTCGTATCCTGTACTTCTAACATCTATCTTATATTATCTTCTCTTTTTACCTCCTTTTCTCTCTTAAACTTTTGTTAAAATTTCAGAACCACTTCAAAATCCTTTTCCCAAATCTTTTTACAAGTACGGGGGCTAGGGTCTTCAAGGAAATAACCTCTCTACTTCATGGGGTAGAGGTAAGGTCTTTGTACATCCTACCCTTCCCAGACCCTACTTCGTGTGGGATTCACTAGGTTCATTTGGTTTGATTTATAGTGTAGTTTTCTCCCATTTTATTTCCTGACCAAACGTTATCATAACTTAATTTGGTCTATTCCAAAATTCTGAGCAGGGAAACAAGCCATCTGTTAATAGCCAGTTCTATTCAAATCAAAGGACTTTATCACATTTTGCACGCTTTGCAAAAGTGTACAAAGCATGGAAATTTTACCGGGTCCAACTCGTGAAGGTGATATATAAACTACAATCATTTTTCGTATACACACATAGCAGTTACATCTTTTCACAAGCCAGGGGTCTTCACGGAAATAACCTCTACTCTTTGAGGTAGAGGTCAGGTTTGTCTGCATACATCTTACCCCCCAGACCCCACCTCCCGGTGGGATATACCAGGCTCATTTGGTTTGGCTTATACATAGTAGTTGCATATAATTGATCTCGCATGCATGTATATATCATGCAGGAAGCTTCACAAAAAGGTCTTCCAGTTTGCCGTCACCTATTTCTCCATTACCCTAATGATGATCATGTACATAACTTGACGTATGAGCAGTTTCTAGTTGGTGAAGAGATCCTGGTGGTGCCGACTCTTGATAAACACAGAAAGAATGTGAAGGCCTACTTTCCGGTTGGAGAAAATTGTGGTTGGAAACATATATGGACAGGAAATATATACAATATACAAGGTTCAGAAGCTTCAATAGAAGCTCCAATTGGCTATCCAGCAATTTTTGTGAAAAATGGATCGGTTGTTGGAGAGACTTTTCTAGGAAATCTGAGAGAATACAAGATTCTGTAAATACTTGTACAGTAATTTGGGTTGTTGAGTTTAAAACCAACATCCATTGTAATTGGCCACAAGGGAAATTAGCAATTGATGTACAAATCTAAAGCTTTCCTGAGGAGTAAATACACAAAGACGCTTATTAAACAGAGGAATCCTTCATATATTAACATTTTCTTCACCAAATTTTACATCGAACTTACAATCAATGTTATAAATGGACTTCTAAAACTAGATAATAAATAATGAAAGAAAACATCATCAACCATTTCTATTTTTGGTAACTGGTGATGTCTAGAACTCAATTGGGCTCGACCAATTTACAGGATCCATTCAAAGCAACCCCTTTGCATGGCTCCAAGAAAATGACTGCACCCAATGGAAATCAAACCTTAGACGTGATGCATTATGAGGCACCAAGAACAAGTGTTTTCTCCACCAAGGCCATGTTTGGCAACCATAAGCTAGCTTATTGAAAAATCCTCGTTTGGTAAGCCATAAGCCAGCTTTTTGAAAAACTACTTTCAGATAGCTTATTAGGACTTTTTCCAATTATGCCTATTATATTTTACATAAATATACCTTATGTTTTCCTTTTAGGTTATTTTACATTGTCATCTAACTTTAACTTATCAGCTAGTCTTTTATCAAAATTGACTAGTTTACCAGCTACCTTATCTGCCCATTTACAAAATCAACCACTACGTTAATTTTCAAGAAAACGAAGAGGGTGTATTCACCCATTGGTTTCTCAAACATTTTCAAATAACTGAACCATAATTCATCATCAAAAAGCTATATCTCAGCCAAATACAACGAGACCCAAGCACCCCATGTTCTAAATTAGGGCATAATATTGTACTAACTGGCAGACTTGGAACGCAATCAGTATAATAGATCCATTAAAGCGTAATTCGTTAAACTACTGCACATAATCGATCAATCCCGAAAGATACCAACCAGAAAGAGTCTAGGAACAATAAGTCAAAAGACAAAAGCAGTTGAAGAAAGAGAACTGACCTTCAACTTGTGGGGACGAAGCAAAATAAGGGTTTGTGAAGATGTAAACAATAATCCATGAAATCCAGAGTTTATTCCCATGCTCAAAGAACCGATTCGCATAATTTTGTTGGATATTCGTCTATTTTCTTTTCCTTATTTTCCAATCTATTGTATTTTAGTAACCATATTAATGAATTTTATTTGGGTATAATTTTTGTTCATTACTAACATAAATCATCCATACTATATTCTTAAAGCATTTAAACTATTGTTTTTAAAAACTTCTAATCTATATTTATACTATATTATCAAGCATTTGGCTAAAACTCTTAAAAACTCTTAAATCCGTTCATCCCTATCCAATTTCATTTTATATCTGAATTCATGTAACTAACTGCAGATAAACACAATCAAATACAGGATAAACATCTCATTTTAAATATAAAAAATCTAAAATATAATTAG